GGCACGTAGTAGATTGTAAAGTTAGAATTGAACATTTAAAAGTGTTATAAAAATAAAAGGTAACCTTTTTAATATCTTATTCAGTTTAAATTTAAGATTTTTAATTATAAATGATATTTCGATTAAATCTTTAAAATTAACAAAATTTCACTGTATCTATGTAACTAACCTTTAGGATATAGGTGTGCATATAGGAAACGGTGGTTATTGCCTCCTCTCTTGGCTCGATCGGGTCATCCTTGTCGACTTCTAGCACAAGTTGCACATGGATCTGATCAATCAAAATCTACCAAAACTTGCATAGCTATTTTATCATTATTTTATTTATTTATTTATTTTTTCTTCATTTAGTGATTCATCTTCCCCCTGCTAATTGACATCATATATTACGAGTTTCTACTTAATATAAGAGCCCAATGCGGCGAATGGATAGTGATATTGTTGTTGTTGAAAACCTTCAAGGCCTTCCTTGCTCAGATCTTCTTGTCCAATAAACCCACAAAGCCGCGAGGGTGGTTCTCGGGGTAGACACTCCGATGCTTAAGTCAGTAATAGTCTACACTTAGAGCTCTTTAGAGAGAATGGAGTGTATTAGAGAGAAATACTCTAGGAGGAGTCCCTTACCTTTGAGGGGTGTGGGGGTATTTATAAATCCTTTGAAAATGCTAGACATGTGTTGCACTTCTGTTGGTCCTTTTAGATCTATTTGAATGTATATGAACTCCATAGTAACTTATGCATGTGCTCTTTTGTATTTGGGCCTCATGGGCCTTTACTATGTTTATGGGCTAGTTATATTACTACCCTTACACTATTCCCCCTCCCGGAGTCATTCACTTGTGAATGATTAGTGTGGAAGATGAGTGTAGATGGGGGTAATAAATATAGCAATGTATGACATGAAATCGTGTTTTAGGCTGTAGTCGAGGTAAAAATGCATGTCATGAAGTCATGTGTTTTGGGTCATAGCCGAGGTAAAAATGCATGACACGGAGTTATGTGTTAAGGCCGTGGCCTAAGTAAAAATGCATGACGCAGAGTCATGTGTTTTAGGCCGTAGCCGAGGTAAAAATGCATGACACGGAGTCATGTGTTAGGGCCGTGGCCTAAGTAAAAATGCATGACGCAGAGTCATGTGTTTTAGGCTGTAGCCGAGGTAAAAGTGTATGACACAGAGTCATGTGTTAGGGCCGTAGCCTAAGTAAAAATGCATGACGCGGAGTCATGTGTTAGGGCCGTAGCCTAAGTAAAAATGATGACTCAATGGCCAGAGCCGAAGTAACATAGGTGATGTGTGGTCATTATGGTAGGAGCTGAAGTAAAATAGGTGACTCGGGGTCCCTAGGGCCAAAGTCAAAGTAGAACTGGTGACTCGTGGTCACTATGGCCGTAGCCGAAGTAGAACTGGTGACTCGTGGTCACTATGGCCGTAGCCGAAGTAGAACTGGTGACTCGTGGTCACTATGGCCATAGCCAAATTAGAACTGGTGACTCGTGGTCACTATGGCCGTAGCCGAAGTAGAACTGGTGACTCGTGGTCACTATGGCCGTAGCCAAATTAAAACTGGTGACTCGTGGTCACTATGGCCGTAGCCAAAGTAAAGATGCATGACCCATAGTCATGTGTTATGGTTATAGTTGAGAATGATGACTTGAAAATGACGACTCGAAAGTGACGATTTGCAACCTCATGAGCCATAATATTGGAAGTCAGACTTCTGACAGTCATGCTCTATAGAGCTAGGACCAGAACCAGTTTTTGTAGAGTTGATTGAATGCCAATTTTGGTTGCTGGAGATGCCTACCACAGAATCCCACCTTGAGATGCCCATAAGAAAATCTTGGTCTCTCGAGTCATAGCATAAAATCGAACCCCTTTGAAGGTTGTGCTTTGCAGAGTTAAGATTGAACTGAACTTTCATAGAACAAATGAGCTGAGAAACTGATAGTTGATGGACGCAAGCTCTTGTAGATTAAATGGGCTAGAAAAGCCAATAGCTAATGGGCTCAAAGGCCAATAGTATTTTCTGATGAACTGATAAGTTTATAAGCTGATAACATATTTTCGAGTCTTCCAAGCCAAGGAGTTAACAAACTCTTGAGACCTGTAAAAATTCATTCTAAACATAGAACTTGACAAAATGCCATTAGTTTATCATAGTCAATAATACATGAGATACATCAACATTAAAGTGGCACAATAATTTAGAATTAAATATAAATGTTTGTGACATGAGTCATCAAAATAAACAATGCTAAAACATGAGTTTCAAAATATATTCAAGCAGCAAGTTAAGCACATGCCAAGTAAAATATGAAAGTTTATTTTTGTTGCTTATGTAAGTTTATTTTTGTTGCTTATGTATTCCTACTCCCCCTCTCAAAGAGAGATTTATCTCTTTAAGTTAGAACCAATAATAAAGACCACCAGCTCGTGGATACCATTAGCTTGTGGATTATTCCATTATTTGCATGAGGCTCCACAAATGTATTAATATAAATAAATGTCATTTAAGCCACTCACTTTTAGTTGAAACATGGAGAATATATTATATTCAATATATTTAATAAATAGGGGCTTAGCATATCTTATTGATGAATGGCCCATGAGAGGTGGAACACAAGATAGCTGGTGAAATGGCAAGCTGGTTGCAAGCTAGACCTGAGCTCAACTATCATAAGGATGAGCTCAAGTAGTGGAGTTCATCTAAAGTTGTTTACCTTATCCAAGGTAGTTTGCCTCGGACGGGCTAGCATGAGGATAAGCTCAAGCAGTTGAGTTCATCCGAGGTTGCTTACACCGTCCAAGGGAGTCACATCATCCAAGGGAGTTCACCTCGAAATGGCTTGTCATGAGGATGAGCTCAAGCAATTGAGCTCATCTAAGGTTGCTTACACCATCCAAGGGAGTGCACCTCGGAATGGGTGGTCATGAGGATGAGCTCAAGCAGTTGAGTTCATCCGAGGTTTACCTTACCCAAGGTAGTTCACATCAAACTACCATCACACTATTCCCTCTCTGGGAGTCATTCACTTGTGAATGATGTGGAGGTTATGTGGGTAGGGGGTAGTCCGAGTTAATCCGAGCTCGTTTCCCTCATCTGGGGTCATTTGCCTCATCTGGGGTAGTTCACCTCGGACTAGGCTGTCACGAGGATGAGCTCAAGTATAGGCTAAGTTCATTCGAGGTTGTTTACCTCATCCGGGGTAGTTCACCTCAGGATGGGCTAGCATGAGGACTAGCTCAAGTAGTTGAGTTCATCCGAGGTTTACCTCATCCAAGGTAATTGACCTCAGAAAGGGCTATCATGAGGATGAGCTCAACATGAGGTAGTTGACCTCGGAAAAGGCTATCATGAAGATCAGCTCAAGGAGTTGAGTTCATCCGAGGTTTACCTCATCCAAGGTAGTTCACCTTGGAATGGGTTGTCATGAGGATGAGCTCAAGTAGTTGAGTTCATCCGAGAGTGTTTACCTCATCCAAGGTAGTTGACCTTGGAATGGGTTGTGAGGATGAGCTCAACCAAGTTTTATGAACTTGCTTAAGTTCCTAAGTCAGCACATGAAGTTCATGTTGTTAAAGTCCAAGGCTAACCATATTATATGATAAGGGTACAGATATATACACATATATTTCTTAAGCTCAGTATCACAGTTAATAGTTATAATTAAAGTAAATTATGAAGCTGCACTTTTTAATCATAGGTTCCTATTAGAAGTCATAATGATGACTCTTCTCCCCCCTAAACCCGCACATTTGGGGCTGGTAAACATAAACGTTGTAATCATAAATTACATTAGTTGCATTTTATGCTTTAACATGTCCAATAAACAAGCAGTCATGCATGTTGTAATAATAAGTTTGTCTAGCTTGTAAATATAAGAACAAAAATTGGACATGCAAAATAACTCATAAAAATCTTAAATGTGCAAAATAATTTTGAAATTTCTAATATGTAACACTTACTTGACTTGCAGAGTAGAATTAATTTATACTTGAGAAAGAATTGTGCTTGATGAGATAGAAACTCGAGAAAGAATTTAGCTTCTTACGAATGATGTTAAGTCCTTGCCTTGACCCAGGAGCAAATGTGGAGAAAAAATCTAGCCTCTCATAAATGATGCCAAAGAAGAAATTTACTTGATCATCTTTGTAAGCTGTTGAGCTTTATGGTTTGGGCCCGCGGCCTTTTGAAAATTTTTTATGGAGGAGTTGTCCATAGCTCGTATAGGAGGAGCTCACCATAAAGGGATTTCTCTAGAACCCACCTCACATGGAGTCCCTGCACTTTTCCATCTCTAAAATAGCAATGTATATTTATAATAATAAGTGCAAATGAGCAAAGTGGCATTATTATGATAAATAAAAAATGAAATGGCAAAATGATATCATGAATGCAAAAACAAGTGCAGAATGAATGGAAAAATGTGGAATGAATGCAAAGAATGTGGAAAGCAATTAATAATAAATTTCAATATAAGATTGGACCAAGCTTGGGCCAAAGCTGTAATTTGCTGTGGAGCTCAATTGCTTTCTTAACAACCTGTATCACGAGGACTTGAAAACAAGAGAAATTAAAGGCATCCAATTTTATAATCAAGAAAGTATATATAAAATAAATAAAAGAAAAAGATTACTAGTTTATCTTTTTTAATTTTCAAAACAATATATGGTTGATGAATTAAATTTATATACATACTAATGTGAAATTTATGCCTTGATATTATTGACATTTGGATGAATTTTATGAAAATTTACTTAATTTTGCATAATTTTCATTTTGTGCTGGAGAGGACTTAATTGAAAAAAGTCACAATCGTTTGGAGTAAATTGAAAATATATAAAATTTTAGAATTAAATTGTGCAAAATCCAAAAGTAAGGGGTCGGGACTGTAATTTTACCGTTAACAGAATTTGCAGAGAAGGACAAAAACCCGACACGGACTCTTTAGGACGGATGCAGGAAAAGTGTCGGTACCTTGTTGAGGGTGTTGACACCTTGCAGCTCGTGCTGCACATCTTTCAGCTCATGCTCGACCTCTGCACTTTGTGTTCAAGTTCTGCACTTCGTGCTCGGCCTCTGCAGCTCATGGCTGACCTCGGCAGTGAGTGTTTGAGCTCTGCAGCTTGTGTTTAAGTTCTGCACTTCGTGCTCGACCTCGGCAGCAAGTGTTTTCAGCTCATGCTCGACCTCTGCACCTCGTGTTCAACTTCTGCACTTCATGCTCGGCCTCTGCAACTCGTGGCTGACCTCGGTAGTGAGTGTTTGAGCTCTTCAGCTTGTGCTCAAGTTCTGCACTTCGTGCTCGACCTCGGCAGCAGGTGTTTTCAACTCATGCTCGACCTCTGCACCTCGTGTTCAACTTCTGCACTTCATGCTTGGCCTCTGCAGCTCGTGTTTGAGCTCGGCAGCTCGTGTTTGAGCTCGGCAGCTCGTGTTGGAGCTCTGCAGCTTGTGTTTGATTTCTGCACTTTGTGCTCGACCTCGGCAACAAGTGTTTGAGCTCTGCAGCTGGTGGTTGACCTCGGCAGCTTGCAGCTCATGGTCCAGCACTTAGCACCTCGGCATTTTGCAACTCGTGCTTCAGCATCTCGCACCTCGGACTTGTGCAATTTGTAGCTTGGACTTTTGCAATTCGTAGCTTGTGCTCGAGCAAGACGTTTGTAGCAGCTCGTGCTCAAATAAGATATTTGGACCTCGTGCTCCAGCAAGTTGTTTCAGCTCATGTTCGAGTAAGATGCTTGTAGCTCATCATTGTCGAGCTTGAGTAACGGAGCCCAGCCATAGTCGGCCCGGCCATAGTTGCTTAGTCTTCTTCTGTCATTGGAACCATAGACTTTTGCTCCCTAGCAGCTGATTAGAGGGATTTTCACACTGGCAAGCTTTTGGCTGAGAGCTGAGGTTGCAGTTCTTTATGAGTAGAGGATAATGGTATTTCGAGAATCTCAGACTTTGATGACGAGGATGGAGAGCTTGAGGCATTGGCGGATGGCGCGGGTGGCGGTAGCCATGTGAGCGGAGAACCAGTTGATGACTCCACCGTCTTTGTTGAATGCCATCTCCCCCAACTCCATGCCTTTCTTCACCAGACCCTCCAACCCCATTTCTGTTTCCTTCATTTTCATTATAACCAACTAAATAGATAAGAAGTACATTTATGGTTGAAGAACAAAGAGGCACATGACCACCATAGTTGAAACCGAAGGAGTTTAGAAGGAAAGGGATAAGTTTCTTTCTTCTTCATTTTTTTTTTTTTTTGGTGGACCCCTCTGAGTTACCTTAAGCTTGTGTTTTGCTGACACTTTTTTGCTTCTTGAATACTCATGGCTGACATTGTAACCTGCCCCGATAATTGTGCAGAGCTACTCTCTTGTTTGTCTTTTTGTGAAAGCTTCTCTTCCTCATGGGTGAATAGACCCTTTTCATCACATTTGCTTCTGCAACTCAAGTTTAAGTTCATCAAATCTACTTCTACAACTCAAGTGAATAGGCCATGAGGCCTTCACTCGCTTTCTCCTCCCTCCAATCAACCGGATCAACATGGAAATGAAGCTTTTTATTTGGTTCCCACAGACGGCGCCAATGTTGTTGCTGAAAACCTTCAAGGCCTTCCTTGCTCAGATCTTCTTGTCCAATAAACCTGCAAAGCCCCGAGAGTGGTTCTTAGGGTAAACACTCCAATGCTTAAGTCAGCAATAGTCTACACTTAGAGCTCTTTAGAGAGAATGGAGTGTATTAGAGAGAAATACTCCAGGAGGAGTCCCTTACCTTTGAGGGGTGTGGGGGTAT